GCACTCTGTCCGTGAAGTCGTACGATCCTGTCTGTCAGTCTCGATGGAAACGTCTGTTTTTTTGCGAAAATATAAAACGCTCGTGATTCGTAAAACGGGGCGTGTCAGCGTCACTCGCATATTTATCTGACAATTCTTTAGCTGAAATCCAACAGATTGACTGATGGGCTTATTTGTATCTTCAATCTCAACACAGACAGAAATTGTCTCAGAAAAAATCATCATTCGATACTTACTATTCTATAAAATCTACAAAATTGAGGGTGAGGTTAAACTACTTCGTAGTAAAATGCACCAACAATTGTGTAACGATAAGACAAGGTTGACAGTGGTGCGCGGGCGCAGTTCGGAACGCACCTGGGTGCAGTAAGTGGGCGGACACTGCGACGCCTACTTATCTGCTCTCCGCGTTTTGAAACACACGACGGCAACCAAGGAATAATGAGACACGACTCGATAACGAACCGACACGACTGAGATGCACCCAACTACAAGTAACAGTCAAACTTAACTGCGCGTGTTTTACTAACAATGTTGTTGTTGTTTGTGCAGAAGGATTTGGATCAACAATTTTTCATTGAATGGTCCGAAAATACTGCTCCAATTTTTGTTGTGTTCCTTACCAGGAGAAGGTCTATATTATGTGGAAATTCTACTAGTATTGTCAAGAAACAACACCCGTGTGTAGCCTAGTGCACCGCTAGCGACAAACCTGACCTCAAAATCCCTTTTCTGTCTCCAATAAATATATACTGCACTGCAGCCATTAACCACAAATTTGAATGTGTAATGCGAATATTGGAAACAAGTATTGCTCAAGTTATTGATGTCAATTGAATTCGTAATGGAACCAACATAGAACATTGTAGAATTTCAATAGAATATAACGTTGATAACGACTATTTGATGTTAGAGAAAGTGAAGACTATGATGTGCTAAGTCGGTAGAATTACTAAACAATTAAGATTTCTACTAAAGTTTTCCTTGTATCAAGATAGTACTAAGATCTTTATAAAATGATCAGCATAAAAACCGTTACAAACTGATGACATATCGACAAAAAGTATGAATTCTCATCCACTCAGGGCAATACGAAAGACCACTCTAAAAACGAAATGCAACTTTAAATAAGCAACAGTAAAGATAGAGGAACCTAATAAATGTTTAAAATACCAATACAGAATCCTCATTACTGTCAGTACAATTAAGTAATGTAGGCTCTATAATTTAATACGTCTACGAGCTTAGTGGAACTGTCCGGGCGAGAACCGGTCCACTTAAAATGATATTGACGTGGGCTAGAGACCAAACATTGTGCCTCCTGGCTCCACTACTCGTGTACACTTTGGTTTTTACAAGATACCCAATGAGTAACCCTATTCTTAAAGCCTTTAGATTCACTTTCACTTAATGATTAAGGTTTTTAAAGGTTTTCCCCAACTCCAATTGATATTTACAAACATTGATGCAATGTTCTCCGAATTTATATGTGATCTGAATATGTTTAGTAAGGTTCTTGTAATTTTATTGGTTCACTCAGTTCCAGTTATTTCTAGTAGTTCAGTTCACGTGTATTAGACATTAATAAATTGACTTCGTTTTTAAAATTAAATTTTCTAAAGCCATTAATAACATATTTTTAATCAGCTTATCTTAATCTGATTACCATTTTAATTGAAGATTTCAATACAAGCTTGATTGACGCTAAACATTCTCTTAATTCGATGCATTTGATTATTTTCTTTATCTTTTGGATATGTTACTTGGTTATTGGCTTGTTTATTTTTCTAAGGCAGTATATTACTTGTATGTGCTGTATCGCTTTGTATCGTATTAGGTGGAAAGCTGGTTCGAAGTGGCTCGGCCGATGCAAGCGCATTGTGATAACGTATAGAAAGTTTCTTTTCACCGTTATTTTATGTTAATTTGTTACTAACTTATCGTGTCGTAGTTCAATATTGAAGGTCGTTCGTATTTTGTTTCGTTCTTATTTGCATACGAACGACATTCATCGTGAATCCGACATTTCAAACTGATTCATAAAGGTCAGCTATTTTAGAAAATGTATTCAATGGAAGAAATTATTAACTGCCTGACTGTGAACGTGAACATCTGGAATAAATTTGTGACATTTATTTTTTACTTGTTAATTCCAAACAGTTTTAAATGTAATTTGCTGGCGTTTATCGTGCTGTCAGCTCGTTTCTGGGACAGGAAACCACAAAAGGTATTCGACATTCTTCGAGGGCATTAAAACGAAGGCACTGAGTCAATTTGTCGCCTTTTTATGCATTTGATAATACTTCACCTCGTCCTTATTCAACGAATTTAATTTTAATTACCTCCTGGTATTATGAATGGGTTCGGAGAAATACTAACAGACGGCGCACCTTGCGCGAAGGAAGTTGAATTCTCAGCTATTGGTGTGTAGGCGGACGTAGACACCTTAGTAAACACTCGACACCACGGATGTGGTTGTCGAACATGATACGATACCGATACAAGAGCCAATACGTGGACTAGGAACCCACGTCCTGCACTACATCGAACAATTAATTTCAAAGATTTTTTATGATTTATCCAACAGTGTGGAGAGCTGCAAGCCGACACTTCTGTACCTCGATTTTTGATCGCGTGCCAAAAACGAGCCAACAACGACAAGGAAAAAATAGCCATGTCAAATGTTATGTAACTGATATTATACATGTACGTCAACATATTTGTGATCAACATCACCATGTCCTCGTCTAAAACTTGTTACCAACAAACATCTAGGTTTTGTCAATCTCGATTTCCTCTGACTTACACTAAAACCTAGTTCAATAGAAAGTGTTATTGTGTGCTCGAAAGATACGTGTTTGTCAGTCCACGAGATCTGTGGCATTGTTGTATATTCAAGTAAAAATATAATAAAAATATACCATAGAAAAATGATGGCTTAATACCCGTAGCATATTAGTAAGTATTCGAGGTTATCAGTGTCAATGACCCCGCGCGCAAAAGGTATGCCAAGGTGATAAATTCTTCAGCTAATGACAAAGCGAATGTTTTTTTGCTGCAATGAGAATTATGCATCAAATAGACTAAATTATTGTATTGCATACTTTTCTACGTCATTAGTTGAAACCATGTCAGTTATAGAATAAAATATATCCAATGATCAATTTAATAGGCCCAGCATCTGTTGCGTGCGTACATGTCGGCTTTATTATTCTGTCGTTGCTATAAAATACCGAACATGGGCAAATTGTGAATTATTTGGTATCTCTGTGAACTCTGACAATATAAACACGGAATAAATGAACATGTTTATGTAAATCACAGATTTTATAACCAGTTTAGCTCGTCCTTACTTTCACGCCCGATTTCTAGCGTAAGCAGATGCCCGACGGTGTTGCTTTTGATATATTTGTGTTAAAACATCAATATTTTAACACTTCAAACTTCGCAAAACTACAATTTTGTTGACGATCAATTATGTAGAAAGTGAATTATAAGTTTTGCATCGACATTCGAGGTCGCTGCATTGCGTTTCCTTGTAAATTTTGTCGAGGAAAGCACTTCGTGATGAGTGCGCTACTGACCTCCTTGCGGAAGACTGATTCCAGTCGTTGGGAGCGCGAGTGCGACTCGTCGGGCGACTTTTCCGCGCAGACGCATCTCAAGTTGGTCGGCCGCGACATTGACCCGCCATACATGATCGGCCAATGCACTGAGTGTCGCAGGCTCTTTGTTTATATCCTGTAAGGCCTCGAGCCTCGGTCGTTCATTGTCCTCGTCCTGAGTAAGTAACTCAGCTAGTACAACAGCTAACCTCGTAGGTAGGGGCATTCTTGTGTGGGTTGACTAATGACATTGCGTTGCGGAACGGAAGACAGTCGGAGGTGCGAATGATAAGTATCTAAGGTTACTTCAAGAAGTGCCTTGAAGTTTCGCCAGCTGATATTGTTTTCATAAGTCACATATTTTTGTTTAGCAGGTATGTTCTATATTCGTGGCCTTAGACTTAGGTTTATTTTTGTAGTCTTCATGAGATAGACTTTTTATAGCTCACTCAATCATATAAAAATATAGAAAAATAATTATTTTGTTTTTGTTTCTGCGGTTTATTTATGTTAGCATACCAGCTGAATTGAAGGACCAAATAAAATAGAATTGAATCAGAAGTGTGTGTGTTGAGTGTGTCGTAAGCTGTTAATGACATTCCACAGGTTGCGCTGCCGGGGTGCGTCACAGCATTCGTCACAGCACCAGCTCACCGCGTAAATACTGATCGTTCAGAATGCAGTTAGCGCAGACACACCAGCACACCAGTTTCCTGAAATATGGGTTTCATGGTGACGTAAAGTCGGACGCCCGCGCTTTCAGCGGCGCCTGCGCTGGACCCATTTTAGGACATGACTAACGGAAATTCGACTCCTCTCTCTCTGGCCCGCTCCCTCCCGTGGGACGCGGCGTGCGCTCGTCTCGCTCGCACGAAAAGCTTCAAGAAATCTTTTAATAGTGTCCACGGCCGCGATCTACTTTCAACTAGCGGCGGGAAATGTGCAAGACCGTGCTTACATTTTCGAAAATGCGCGGGGATTTTGAAAATTATTTTCAGTTTTTAATTTTACATATTTTTTTTAATTTTACATTTATTTTTAAGTAAAAATAAACCTGTCATAATTCATATTTTTAGAGTTTATATATCTATATTTAGATTTATAATCAGATAAATTATGTCAGCGCCGGTAATTAATAAACCAGGTGCAATCAGATGTAGTAGTGTAGTAGTCCCGAGCCGGTTTAACAGTATTATGTGTGACTTCTGTTTTATCGATTTGCAGATAAAATATATATTTTTTGTAAATACACAAACATGAGTCACGAACGCAAGAGATAAGGCTTTCCGGCGATATTATTTTATAATTTAAAACTGGGTATTCGCTCGCGTACACTTTACGTTTACCTACCTCACGTAACGTGTGTCAACATTGTGTGAGGTGTGTAAAACTGACCTTTTTCTGTTGTTTCTCCCAAGCCGGGTCTAGCAGACCCTCGCGCTCCCATTCCTCCTCCTGTTCCATGTACCCATCCGCGTACGACCCGTCATAGTGATTTGACATCACTCCGTTGTCCATCATCATGGTCACCGCACTGACCGTCGATTTCGATGTTCGTTCGAGCCTATGACCGCGAACTCGCGTGTGTTGGTTCGTACCGCGCACTGCAACAAGCAGCCGGCCGCGCGCCCGCTGCAAGAAGACTGGCGCACGAGCGCTCCCCGTGGCGGCGTGACGAACTTTCCAATCACGTTTCGTTACACGTACGCTCCTGTCAAATTTATCCGCAGCGAGGAATGGAACGTCTAGAATATTATACCGCAAATATTATATTCGGGGCGCGTAGCGGAATAAACCTGCAAACTAACTTACTTTATTTTTACCCGACTTCTCATTTGTATCGGAGGGTTACGTATTTAGCGGCTCTGTAAATAGTGTTATAATGCGTGGGCATGCTTGTTATTATTTAGCGCTAATTTGCTTTGTCTGCTGACATCCTCGGGCGCGGTTATTTGGAATCGTCGTATAATTCTATGGATTGCCAGTTAATTCTATCGATTGTCAGTATGGATATGTGAGCACCATGTTGGACTTCAAGATTTTTATTTTTTTTTTTAATTTTAGTAAGTTATTAGTATAATGCGTCAAGATTGTCTTTGCATTATTCTTACATATGCGTACAGTATTGAAATATGTATCAGAGACATTGTAGAACATACTTTTTTAAAAAAGAGTAACGAATGGAGTTTCTTGCTCGTTCTTCTCCATTCGAATCTACTTTTTGGAATGAGCACCTAGCTTCACCTAGTTTCTCTGACGGACTGACTGACAGACTATTATTTATTTTGTATTTGTTGACGTTTCAAAAGTACCAAACTATGGTTTGATTGAAATAAATGCTTTGACTTTGACTTTGACGTCTCCATCATCCCATTGTATATTGTAATTTCTGTACTGAAAGAATTTATATAGTATCATTTTTTTTAATAATGAGTAATATTGTTATTTCATTTTCTATTATTCACCCAATTATTATCTAAGTATTTTCTAATTGATTACAAAAATTTGATTGTCTGATCTGATTATAAAAAATAGTTTTTCCTAGTGTTACAAAATCCATGAAATCTAAGAGGATAGGATTGATTTTGCAACTAGGATTAGATAGGTATGCATCAATGTATTATCAAAGAATATTGTGATTTCTGTGTTAGTTCTTACATTGACATCATTATCTCATCCTGAGTGAAGTGATGCTACCTCAGGCGGGACGCTACAGGATATAAAAAATACCTAATTGTAGGTACTCATTCTAAATTTATCTTTTTATTTTAAAGTAAGTCACTAAACGATATTATTATTATAATTTACTATCATCATCATCATCATCAACAGCCTATAAATGAGCACTGCTGAGCAATGCCTCTTCTCGCACGCAGAAGGTTTGAGCATTAATCACCACGCTTGCTCAATACGGGTTGACGATTACAGACTTATAATTAGAAAAAATAAGCCCCGGTTTCCTCATGATGTTTTCCTTCACCGTTTGTCAGTGGTGTCTAGATAATATTAGAAAGTACATATAACTCGGAAAAAGTCACATTGGTACTTGCCGTTGATAGGTTTCGAACCCACAGCTTCATGCATGAGAAGCGGGCCTCTTAAAACCCTTAAACCTAATTTACTATATTTGCATTATAATGTAAACATTGGACTACTGTTACATCTTTTGGAAGTTTTTGTGTTTAATAAATGATATTTATTATTTATAACTGTATCTAGCCACCATGTGACGGACAGCGACCTCCTCAATTTTTTTGCTGAAACAAACGGATAATGGACAGCCTTTCTCTAGAAAGAAGGTTGTCTTTGTTCAATAAGTAAATGGACATATTCAAACAGATCGATGAGGGTGATATTGTAATAAGATGGCTGCGGTACCTTAAGTATTTTTTTTAAGGGGGGGAAATCATCGAATGTCTTCTCACGCCTGGGTGAGGCGGAAGGGAGTGTCAGACTCTTACTGACTAAAAACCACCTCGTTCCTTCTCATGCACTTTGAGCCGGAACCCTGGTAACCCGTTGAGCTCTCCGCGGCTCTGTATCGGCATCAGCCCTATTGGGCCCCCATCCGTGGTGGTCTGATGGCTCTTTGAGACGCGCGTGGAACGGGATGCACTGTACACTCGGGTCTGGTTCTGGTCAGGCGGCGAGCTACCCATACATATACCTAAAGTGTACGGTTGGTTTAGGTTAGTTTTCTGGTCCGCACACTAAAACATTTCTGCATCTCTACAGTTTATTGGTGATAATTGTATGGCAATCGGTTCAGTGGTTTTTAAGATTATCATGTTTATATAGACGAGACATAGAGAGAGATAGAGATAGCTTGAGTGCGAAGTATAGTAAAGATACATTATAATTAAGACAAGAATTAATATTTGTCATGAAGTTATTATCACTGTTTATGTTGGACAGGTACATATTTACATCAAAAGTCATTGGCTGATACCAAAATTCGGAGATAAAAATGTTTTATCATGTTTCAGTGAACAGGTGAAGAAATAAGTTTTTTGACACTTTCAGTATTTATGAGAAGTTTTTAGCCATTTTCATTCTTCAGTTGAAATCTCGATTTTATGCAATCATTAAGAATGTTCAAATTGAAATATTTATTATTCTAGTAAATCTGATACGCGTTTATTAGTCCCATAATGGGCCTTCTAAGTCGAAGTTCTAGAATCAGTCCACAAATCAGGAAAATAATTTATATTTTTAAATAATTCATGTATTCAATAATTCGATGTCTGTGTTCATGGAGACTGGCGTAAGTAATGTTGTTACAAAATTGTGATAAAATTGTGATAATTCAAGGAATAAGCTCTGAAGGAAAAGGGGCGTAAGAGATATAGCAGTACAAGGAGAAACTATTTTGGGATATAAACCACAAATAAAATACACAAAAAAATTTATTCACCACATAAATTTTCATTGGATAATAATCTTGCTTTGCTCTTGCAAAATAACAGTTACACTTAATTATAATTTTTATATTCTTTGAAGATCCCACATAATAACATACTTATAGCAACATTCACGATCACAGGAAGGTTAAAATTTTGGAATAGAAAACTTATTTAACCATTGAAGAACTTGACACGTCAATATTTGGTGTTCCTACAAAATAAATCTATACAAGTATACATACATACATTGAGTATTATATTATGTTCAACTCATAAGACATTGGGAAGTCATGCATACGACATAAGACATCCACGGAATATTATATATCGGCGAACCATTCATAGAAGCTTTGAGCAAAGTTACAACTGAACGATATAAAATCATTGATAATTTAATAGAAGACTTTACCCATCATGTATAATTTTCATAAGTATAAAAATTTTACCGACAATTCAACTTGTTTACTTGTCATTCGCCAGAACGTCAGAAACGTTTGAATTTAGGCTAAATATTTATTTATATATTAACACCTATTTTATATGACGATTTATAAGATTTAGAAGACCCATTTCATATATATTTACTATAATATTTAGAATATAGACGACGAGTGCGCACATGAATGGAACTTGGCACTAAGGCTGAGATTATACTAACATTTGTAAACATGTTGAAACGACCGAACAGAATCGGGAGACTATCTCAAACCAGACTGTCCATTCTTACAGTCTACCTATAAGAACTCGCACGGAAATAGAATAAGTGAAGACGTATAGTAAAATGTATGCGAAACGAAAAATAACGAGCAATGTTTATGATCTAAATATATAACACCAATGGGTTATTATAGGATGACTATATTTATTTAAAAGTGATTCGTTCCGATTCAGCAGCATAAATATTGTTCAGGAATGTGTTCCCGAGATAGATATTAGTTTTAAAGACGCTAAACAAAATACACTTACATACGAATACGCGAAATGGGTCTCAATATTCCGTCCACAGTAGACAGTATAGAAGGGTAAAAAATACTAAAAGATTTGGTTCAGAAGTCTTCACTTTAACAATTAACACAAAGTAGATACACTTACCTAGGTGAGTTTGAGTAGAAGATAGATAACTCTAGTTGTATAAACTATATCTATGCAGTCTGTATGTGTTATCATAAGTTAAACTTATCCTAAGCACAGACTGCACAATTCAGTTTTCCACAGAGCATCACGATTATTATATGAACTGCCATCGTTCATTACAAGTATGTATTTCAAGACAAACACAATCATTAGTGATGCTTCATTTACACTTGGTCGTTGGCCAAATTCGGCTATCAAATCCAAGCTAAACCTAGGTAATACACCCTGCTATATTATCTACTACATACAATATACCGATTACAAAGGCGTTACGTAATCGATTTTAATCGTATCATTACACCTAGTATACGAAATATTTTAGACCATTTAGGTACATATACTTTCTATACATTACTTATTCCATCGAACACAGATAGGGGCGAATTTCTAACGAAACGACCAAATGTAATGGAGACATAGATTTCGTGACGCATTTGTATCATTTTTCCAATAAGTATTAATATACTTACACTCTGACAAATAAATGTCCTATAACATTTGATTAATTTCTCTATACATAATAAGGGTACACTTTTAAGGTAAATTAAGATAAAATATAGTTATGAATACAAATTAGAACTGAGCTTAAGTTTAGTAATAAAATTAAAGCTTTGCTTGTGGATAAAATTGTGCGAAGGATATAAGTTTGTCACCAATATTGTTAATAAAATAAACCAATTCTTTTACGACTACTAAAATATTTTTTTTTATATTTTGTATATAAACTAAAATTAGCATCAATTGGTGACAATAATTTTTATATTTTATCGTAAATACAACAGCAGTATACATATAGGTAGGTATAACATTCTATACATATATCAGAAGGCATTATCTATGATAACTTTTGAAGAGGTCTCAAGAACGAGTTTCACACCAACGTATTCATTATATTGAACTTTATTCTACGGATAACTTTATTAAGTGATAATGTTTGTACAATTTGCACAAATTTATTGTTTTGTGAACATTAGTATAGTATAATAT